CAAGAAAATTCCGATAACCAAATAATTCGGATAATAAAGGCTCATTAGCCTCCCTTTTATCAGTACTTATTAGTTAATTATAATAGGAATCGACGTTCAGAAAATTAAAGTCGACCATGTCGAACTCCTATTATTCGAATTACGGATAATAAGAGCTATAGTTTGTATAATGGAACAGTACGAATTCGTATAAATAGAGTGCAGATAAATGGAGTTCTACTGTACTAATGTTATGCTCGTGGCATACTTTTTAGGAAGCAAAAAGATTCAGAGAATCAGAGAAAAAACATGTAAATGAATATCACAAGGAAGTGGATAAAAGTAGAAAACATGAGAGATCGTTAGTAGAAATGCACCAAAGCAAAATTGCCAAGAAAAAGAAGGTAACTTAATTCATCTTTTTAAGTTATAATCTTCAAATTATCAAATTAATTATTTTCATACATTCGCTGGAGTGTACTGTATACATTTTATTTTTTAGAAAGAGGAAAAGGAAGCAAAACGGACTGGGATATCAACGAGAAGGCCATTTGATAGAGATATCGATTTACAAGTCAATCGATTTGATCAAGCACAAAAGAAGACTATTCTGATGAAAGCGCAGTTGCTCGATGATAGGTTCTCACGTGGGCAAATTTAAACGGTTCAAGTTTTTTCTGGGGATAAAATTATAGTAAGTGTAAATAATTGCAAATTGTAAAGGGAGTTATATTCTGTATTAAATACATTGAGATTTGCAAGTTGATCGATTTGATCAGATAGAAAGAAAAACTACTGATGAAAGTACAGTGGCTCGCGGCAATGGATTCTCGCGTAGATAAAACGGATTTGAATTCTTATGGGGATAAAATTACGGTAATTGTAAATAGTTGTTAATGAAGCTTAGATTCTACATTAAATACACGGAAATTGACGATATCGAATGTTGTTTGACGGTGCCTTGAATTAACAGGATTCTCGCCATCTTGACTGACAATTTTACATTAATATTTTAACAGAATATGCACGTCAGCTTCGTTATATTCGTGTCTTTCTGATTGTGATTTTTTTGTAACATATTTTTTACAAAAACGACATTTTGCTGTGAAGTCAACTAACTTTCGTCAAATATTTCGATTTTAATCTCAGTTCTTCAGTTTTTTCCGAAACGAATGTATCGTTGTAAATTGTATCGCGGATTGTTGTTACTTTCTTTTTATACTGCGGCTATAAATCGAATGTGTTGTTTTAGATAAAACTTTTCCAGTCGTGTATCCTGCACATCGTATTTCGTAATGTACAACTTGCAACGAATTTGCATAAATTACAATCGAACGAAGGTTTTATAAATATTGTAATGTATATAATGTTGTTCTGTATGTAATGCATCGTAAAAAAAGAAAACGACAGTGATGCACATGTCGTAATAATGACGATTGTACGGTACATTTCTGCTCGTATAAAATAGGTACGCCGCTCGTTGTTTGTTTGTTATTTTCTATAAGTGAAACAGTACAAAATATATAGTGCGACATTTGGCACTGCTGATACGTATCTTTATAGAAGATACATATCAGCGTGGTTGTAGTAAATGCAAGTAAAACTACATTGTCACACTTGTACTTTCGAGAATAGAAGATACATTACACTGATTTCACATACATGTTTTCAAAAGGCGGTCCTATACTTTGGTGGGCCTGAAGCAACATCTTAACACAACAATTGAAACAATTATGATATCCCAAGGATCTAAAGGATCTCAGACTTCATTAGTTTATTGATCTTTGTGAATTTGCCAATGCACTTTCTCTGTCATGGCACGAGATACGAATCGAACAATTATCAGGTTTATATCGTTTGATGATCATTCATTATTTTCTGCCGAGAATTTATGTAAATCTTTGAATTTGTATACACAAAAATAAAATATGTTTTGATTAAAGTTTTGTTTCATCGTTTTCTTTTTCTTGGCGTTTTATTTGTCAATGTTAATTTTTATTTGATTGAACACAATGCAGTAGCGATTATTGTTTTAATGAAACGGAAGATAGAATAAATGTATAGTTTGCTATTGAAACTAGAAATTTTTTTTCTATAGTTTTTAAATCTTACAGGAATTTCTTGAATAGTTTGCTAATCGCTGATTAAACAGCAAACTAAACACTCAAGTTTATTTCTTTATCCATTTCATCTTCTCTGTTTCTCTAAAACGTTAATCAATACATTAAAATTAATAAAAAATAATTTTGTAGTTTCACAAGAATAAATCAAATATAAATTAATTGCAATCAATTGGAATGTACTTATCATTTAAGTTATAAAATGAGTTAACACTGCATTGTTCAATCTAATAAAAATTATGTAATATAAGATCAGATTATATAATCGGCTAAAATAAATAAATAATAAGATATTATTATATAAATAACAGAATAATTAGAGATCCTATAACAATATAATTTCCATAATATCTATTACGCATATAATAATTATATAGTTATCAGAATAACAATTATAACATTATAATTAGATATTTCATTATATAAAAAAATGTCATTAAATATTACATATTTTTCTTTTTTAAGAGGACAAAAAAGCAAAAAGTCCAGAAGATCGGTTACAAAGAACAAATTAAAAGAATTGCGTGTCGAGGCCGTCTCTCGCCTACGTACGCACGCGATTGGCCGTGGATCACACGCACTAGTGCGAGTCGTACTGTGTGCGACTAGTGCGAGTCCGACTGACTGACAACTTGTCTCATTGTAGTTGATTATAGTTAGCCAATTCCTTTGCACGGCGAGCGACACCGATCCGATCGATCGACGCTGCCGTTGTCGATCGTCCACTCCGCTGTTGTCCGCTCGCGTCGTCGCCGTCCCTCCCCTCGTCCGACGTTCACGGGAAGACTAATCGAAGAATGAGACGCAACTAACCTCGAAAGCGACGTTCGTGACGTGCCCGTCCCTTCCGTCGCCCGGTCAGAGACGATCCAGATTATCCAGGAAGAATTCTAGAAGCGTTTCCTAGACGCATAAGGATTCGAGAAAGGAGGAAAAGGAAGACAGTGGAGAAAAGAGGATCCCTCCCCCCTCTTCCCCGAGGAACTCATCAATGGTCGGTCGGGGAACGTTCTTGACGTCGAGTGACTAATGGTCGCGTGCGGATGAGAGACTCGCGATTGATCTTGAAGTACGTATCATCCACGTTCCTCCCGCGCCGAAATCACGCCGCTCCCCGCGACGTCGTCGTCGATCGGTTATCTACGATCAGCTCCAAAACTGAGCGAGCCCATTGACCCGTTTTTTCACGCGATGCAGTTAACGCACGCATCTCATTCGCATACGATTCGTACATATTGTCGATTTTCCTCGTCTCCGAGCAAGAATCATCAACATGAAACTCGAATTCATCTCGCGTAGTAAACGACCATTGATGTCAGGTGTTTCCTCCTCGCTCCTCGTCGACGAGGGCGAAGATCTCTCTTCCTCTTCTCCTGCGCCGCATGGACCAGAAGAAGCTGCGCGGAGATCCATTTATAAATCGTGGATAATAAATTGGTTTTGTCTCGAGGATTTTGGAGCAATTTCTTGGGAGATTATTATGTGTTTAGCGCGATTTGTGTAATCATTTAGTACTTTACCGGCCGCGCACAGTTTGTTTACTTTGTTTAGATTGGGCGTGTATTGTGAATCATTTCGTTTAGAATACGGGTATCGCGTATCGCGTGTGTCTATTGTAGGATCAATATCTAAGAGTTATTAGAGATTTACTTCGTGAATATATTTGAGCAACAGAATGTAATTTTGGAATTAACAAGAAGGAATGTAATAATATTTATTTTCTTCCAGAGCAGCCTGGCTGCACTTTTTAAGATGTACTTCTGTCTGCATTGGATGTCACTCTTTATAATATCAGCAAAGTAAACCTAGCAATCGTAAAATGAATCAGTTGAACGAGATCTCGGAGAAATACTGAACTTGATGAAAAGGTGGATGTTTAGACCGATTTCAAAATGCGCCAGTGCTGTTTAAATCACCAAGTCCTGTTATGGCTTATCTTCTTGATTTTCTTCGCTGCATACAGCAGTGCGGATATTCTAGTATTTTCTACAATTGGAAGACAGATCGAAGAGGAGTTTCGCGATATGCCTGCCAAGTTTGGAGGCATAATATCTCCGGAAGGCATCAAGGTATGTTGTTGAATTTGTTTTATAATAAATTATATATATATATAATTTCTTATAGCAGGGCGTTCAGTTTTTAAAATTTCTTGAATCCTAGAATTATCCTGGAATTTAATGTATCCTAGAAAACTCCTGGAATTTCAGGACTGACTTGGAATTTTTATCATTCTTTATGATATTTATGATGGGATGATTGCAAATGAAAAAGATGCAAGTAACTTTGAGATTATGAAATCTAAGTATTTAATGAAATGCCAATAAATTAATAATTTTAATAAGGTGATGCTTGGATACGTTAATGAAAAGAAATTGTGTTTGGGTGTAAGCCTTCCCTTAAAGATTTAATACGGCAAGTTACTAATAGAAAACTTGAATTTAATATCTGCAATTATAAAATAGAATATAGTAGAAAAATTATCGTTACTGAATGTTTTATTTGATATTATTAAATCAGTAAATAATATTGTTTCAAATTTATTTGTGTTTTAATTCATCATATAGAATCTTAACTTAAATACGAAACATATAATATTGCGCGAATCAATAAAAGTAATGAAAATTAATTGATCTAGAAAAATAAAAATTTTTATCTAGAATGTCCTGGAATTATCCTCGGATTAATTAACCATATATCACTGGACACCTGTATAATAAATTTTATATATATCGCTAATTTGCTACGACTTAGGTAAAAAAAACGAAGTTTTTCAGAAAATAAGTTTGAATAAGTTTGTTTTGTGTAGATTGAAGTATATACTTTCTGTATTTAAAGTGAAATAGGTTTGATATTTGACAAAAACGGTAAAAAAAAGTTCTAGCGCAGTCTTAGTGCAACAATAAAAAAATAAAGCTGATGTTCGGAATCATTAAAATTTTAATTTTGAAATAATTGATGTAATAATTGTAGAAAGAAGAATAAAATGTATCTTTAAAGTATATTTTTTTTCTTTACTTTTCAGTTTTTTTTACAAGCAACTAAAAAGCCATAGCTTTTTAGTTATGTTGTTATTGTAACAAATGAACAATATATATTTTATATCTCTTCAATTTTGTTATACAATATTACTAGGGCATGGTGGTTTATGCCGATCCTCCTACTGCGTGCCATAAAATACAGGCTCCGCCAAACAATAATACTACTGGTAATTGGATAGCGTTAATACGACGTTATAACTGTAGCTTTGAAATTAAAATTCGAATGGCACAGGAAGCTGGATATGATGCTGCTATTATTCACAATGTAAACAGCAATGAACTAGGTAAACTAGCCATATATTAATGACACATAGAAGCACTAAAACGTTGTCTATTCAATGAATGGCAAAGAGATGATTGTCTTATTTCAGAACCGATGTCAGCAAAGGATCCCGTAGGAATTTTGATACCATCTGTGTTTGTTGGTGAAATTACGGGACTTGTTATCAAAGATAATTATTTATACAATCAGGGTTATTTTGTAATAATTAACGATGATCTGCCATTCAATATTAATACCCATTTGCTCTTGCCTTTCGCTATTGTTGTTGGAATATGTTTCTTAATTATAGTTATTTTTATGGTAAGTCGTAAATGCGATGATAAAATACCACGTGTGTATAATATTTTATCGACTTTAATACCGTATGTACTATAGATTGTCAGATGCATAAAGGATAGAAGGCGACAACGGAGGCACAGGCTGCCTAATTCTAGTTTAAAAAAGATTCCTATACACAAGTATACAAAGGGTGATCCGTATGAGACGTGTGCCATTTGTTTGGACGATTATGTAGAAGGAGAGAAATTACGAGTTTTACCATGTGCACATGGTACGTTTCTCTAATAAATTACTTGACATCTCCATTACAACGATATTTTTTTTTTTAACCAGAATTTTCTTCAGTTATCTTAATCAAGATATCAGAAATATTAAACTACTACTCTCTCTATTTGTTTATTAATTTCAGCTTATCATTCAAAATGCATTGACCCTTGGTTAACAAAAAATCGAAGGGTTTGTCCTGTTTGCAAAAGGAAGGTTTTTGCAGCTGACGAGCAAGTTGTGACCGATGAGAGTGACTCGGACGATGATACAGCACCTCTTATTCGTGACGGCCACCAAGGTACGAATTATTTTCTTTTCAAGATCAATAAATAATACGGATTTGCGAAACTCAGAAAAATGTTTTTTTAGGTACACAAGGAGGAACGTTCACACGGCAAAGGGAAAATCCTTTTAACAGAGCTAGGAGATCACAAGCTAGACACGACAGTAGTAATTCTAGTGATAATAGCTCCGATTCTGAGCAGTCTTACGTTACTACCGAGGATGGCGTTAGTACTAGTGCCGGTGAACCATCTAATGTCACCGTTTTTCTGGTATCTGATACTCATAGTATAAACGGTAAGATTAATTACTATCTTGCATATAATATATCACTGAAAAATGTTTATAATATTTTGTTCGATTTATAGGCGAATCACAGGAGTTGGAACGTTCGACTAGTAGTACTAATCCTCATACGGTGAGTTTATACGCGGACGCTCAATCATTTTCAACACCTATTCAAATCGCACCGACACGACGCGGGATCATGGTAAATTCCGTGATGTCGAATTCTGACTATTATGTAGAGACCTCAGATAATGCGTCGGTGACGGCCAGTAATTCCAACAAAAACGATGTTATTACGTAATGGCCTGACACAGCTGTGACTATCATTATACATTATGAGTTGTTTGTATCTTGCGAAAATTTTCTTTTTTTCGCGAAAGATACGTTAATATTATGGTGCGCATGGCATAAAGCGATGTACGATGAAGATGAATATATATATATAAATAATCTGAAATTAGATAGTATTTTTAATACATATAAAAATTATATATATTTTTTTTAATAATGATATTTCGACTTTGCTTTATGGCAAATATTCTTTCGCACTAATTTGTCTAACATGTATTTAATGAATTACATAATAATTATCGTTTTCTTTCTTTTGCGATGAGTATCACATGTAGTGACGTATTGTGCAAAGAGATTAATTTTTAGTATTTTATATGTGATTGAAAACATCTTTTGAGAGATATTTTAAATTTGATTCACGTACGAAACAAAAACTCATGTATAATGAAATGTATATACTAATGTATAATTATTCGATCTGTTTTTCTTTTATTTTCAAGAATTATGCATTATTGCTTGATTCCTTGACGTCTAATCCTTAATTGAAACTATCAGTTAAATATATACATATTTAGATAAGATTACAAATTTTCTAATTCCATGTAACAAAATATTATTTTGTGTATTAGCTTAGAAATTTTATGTGGCCTAATTTAATTTTCGAATTTGATTAAATTTAATCGAAATTGCACATTACCGGTATTCAGTTGTCAAAATTTAAATTGATGTAATATATTATATATACATATTTAGATAAGTTTACTAGGTTTAATGATGATTTAATGGTAAATGATTAGTGCTGGTGATATTATAAAATGACGAACATAATAGCTTTGTTGCCGACATCGGGTTTGTACATATAAATATTACCTACTAATACAGTCAAGAGACCAAAAATGCGCAGACTCCTTTCAATGCAGGACATAGGATATTGTGAACTGTCAACTTTAGATATTAAGTTGATGAAATTGAATCTTTAACCGCGTTAAGTTTCTGAAAACTATATTGTTATCCAGAGTATATTATGTGAACTAACTGTACTGTTTTATATAAAAAGTAGACTAGTACTTATATATATATATATATGAAGTGGGCTGTATATAATAAGATCTGTCAAGAATTACATGTAAATTTCGCTACTATCAAATAACGTATTTACTTCATTTTTCGTTGACATAAACAATTGAAATTATGTGGTTTTATAATAAGGAAGAGTCATATTCAATTTAAATCAAATATAGAAGGATATCAATATAACGATATAATATATATGAGTGATTTTATTTTTTTATTTCAAAATTGTAATTGAGTACACGCGAATGAAGCATCATTGCGAGGACTTATCGAATCAGAAACAATATTCTGTTGCTCATTATAACATAGTTACACATGCAATTAATTTCACACAATTTAATTTCAGAATTAATAGAAACAATGTCGTTTAAACGTACAGCTCGACTGAATGAAGAAAATGTGGTAAAATGTAAAAAAAATTATAAATAATAACAGGAAGATATTATTATGTACAAAGAATATGCCTGAAAAATATTTTCAATTTTTTAAAATAATCGTCAAATCGGAATAAATAAGTATTTACTATTAATGTTTAATATTATGTACATGTAATATAATAAAAATGTATTTATATTTTTTTGTACTATGTAACTTATCTTAGTCTTGAGATATTTACAACTTAGAAGATATTTGCAACTATACTTGCTGATAGTCGACAAGATAGGATGTCAAATGACAGAATGTATGGAGCCAAGTTCAAGAAAAATTTATAAATCGAGAGCTATAAAAGATAGATAAAGGTTTGAATCGATGTATTACAACATCTACAAAAAGAACAATCAAATTAGAGAAAATTTTATCAAGCCAATCTTTGAAATTGAAATTGCCTAAATAAAGCCTCAAGGAATTACGAGTAAATATAAAAATTTAACAACATCTATAAATCAAATACTCTAAATACAGACAGTTTTTCTAAAAATCAAACAATGTGGATTAAAAGTAAGAATTTTCGAAATTTAAACGAAGAAACCATTGAAGAAGAAGTTGCAACAGCCGATCGAGTTCTAGGATTATTTCCTATCTAAAATCGAACTTATCGTCACGAAGATCGTAAACGCTAGCAAATGGCAAATCAGTCGGGCTTTCAAGATAGTACACCGACCTCGGAGGAACCGGAGGATGACGGTACCGGTTGTATGTCAAGAAAGGCGGTCTAATAGTGAGCTAACACTTTGCAGCCGCGAGGATGACGCGAGGAGTGGTTGCATGTAATGGCACAATGCCGCTCGAAGTTTACGTCTTTGCTTTACTTGCCTCGAGACGTATACACGCGCAACGACAAGAGGCGAGTGCTGTTTTACCAATTCTGTCGTTCTAGACCACTCCACCCGTCATCCCTGGCCGGCGAAGAGAGCCGACCTCTCTACGTTCGCTATCGCAGCAACCCCGATGGCGACTCTCAAACTATCCCTTATCGTACAGCTACAATTTGGTGCCATATCCATGCAAACGAGGGTACTAGAGAATCCGTCCGTTTTTTTCACCTATTCAGAATGATTAAAAAAATGTCTAAAAATTCACCAACATACTATCAACTTTCTGGAATAAATATTGGCACTTCATTTTGGAAAATAATAAAATGTAATATAATTTATAATTACCGAAAAACTCCAAGAAACTTGCACGGACAGGAATTGCTCGGTCACTAGTGACCCCCTCTTGTACGATAAGGGCTATTTCGTAGTTCTTAACACCTCCACCCTTACAGAAATCCAATTTAATATTAACACTATTTTGAGTTAAAACACTAAACAGTGTTAATACTCAAAATAAGTAATTAATCATCACTTTCTAGTATTAAATTTATGTAAGGCTAACGTTCTCCCTTTTTTCTTTGCTCCCAATTTGCTTCAGACAACACAAAGTCTAAAATTAGGAGTAAGATCTTCCAAAAATGTCTTTTAGACGATTTTAAAACGCCTTTTATAAAATTATCTTTAAGACATCTTTTAGACGTTTTTAAAATGCCTTATGTCTCGTTTTTGGACATAACTGTCATGTATAAGTACATATATAGTTACGATGTATCGTGCGATCAAAATCATGACTTATTGATCTATTCCCTATCGGAAAACATAAACTCATCGATTTTTGGATCATGATTGATATGTTGAAAGAAATGTATATTCGAGAGTCTAGAACTGGCTTTCCAGGATAACATATGAATTACATAAATTATGTAAAGAATTCCAATCGTGAGTGGCGTGCCGAAAAGCGTTGCGAGGAAACGCGACGCTAGGGGGTAACTTTAGCTGGTCGCATATTATCGATTCGCGAAAATTTCTCTTCACTCACGGCCATGCGCAACCCCCGTTCCCACCTTGAGACTAAGGGAGAGTACGGATCGCGCACGCAACGTGACCATCGATGGGGTGCGCCGCGTGTACCTATAGATATTACGGATACACGCGTGCATATGTATGGGAAAATAAGCGTCCGACATCGGCGGATGCTCAGAATTTTTTTTTACACCCTTATAGTAACACATCATTTTACAAATTCGAATTGTCTTCCCCTTCAACTTTGTTGAACTTCTATCTCAAGATGGAAAATGCGTTGATTTTGTCAGTATAGAGTCCCTGGGGATGGCAACACCTTTTCGCCAAATAGTTCAAGTCAAAGTTTTAAATGCGTTAACACCAGAACACACTCGGAGATGAACAAAGTTATTCACCGATAATTTCAACTGAGATTTAAGAGTTTCTTCGCGATCTTGTTATGAATAATTTATGATTTAGATAAGTTATCATAAACGCGTTTTGTACTTCTCGAAAATTTATAATAAATATGATAATACTGATATTACAATTTTTAAAGATGTAGTGTTGGAAAGAAATATATTCACTTGATTATTTAATTATTCATGACGATGTTCATTAATAAATATTATTCGAAGTACATTCAATGCTGATTTGATAGACAGTTTAGCGTAGAAAAGATTTTCTTCGATGCATATTTGCTATCGATTTAGCATTTATTTTTATCCGGCAAAGCCGCTCTCTGCGGAGGATTCCAAGAATGAAAAAGTTGCTGTAAAGCCTTTAGTTCATTTACCGTTTAATGGCGTTTTTATAGTACGTTTTTGTGCTACTGTAATTAAAACTTTAATCTAATAGTTAACAGAGCAGTTAACACTCTTTGAGATTACTCGTTCTTGATCATAAAACATGATTTCATTAAAATCACATTCATTAATTATATTGCAAATCTACCGCAAGCCAATTATTGCAACATCTTGTTCATCATGAATTTAAATAATCCTCTGAATACTTTCTCTAATATCTTAAAAAATTGTATAAAGTCATTTACATTTAATAAATATTAATATATTTAATATATTTAATTTAGTAAAGTATTATATATAAACGTGTTGAATTTTTAATCTTTCCAAAATTTTTACGAGGATTTTTCCATTGAATCAATCAATAAATTAACGTTAATTGATTAAAAATTGTATATATCTGAAAAATGATTACATTACTATTACAGGAATTAATAAAGATTAAAGGAAATAGGATACAATACTGTAAACATCCTCAGAATTTCATTTGAATATTATTAGCTGCAACATTTCATTCCTTCTTTCATTCTCCTCTTCTTTCTTTCTTTCAGCTGGTCTGTTAAATTCAAATAGGTGGATGAAACAGCTGTTCTTGCGGAACAGCTTTTTTACCTTTTTATATAAACTGCTCCGCTTTTACCGAATATCAGTTGCAACTAAATGTACTTTAACCAAACTCGGCCTAGATTTTTATAATTAAATTGAATTACACTTTCAATTTTAGCTAAAATTCCGTCCGATAAAAATGGGTCAACGAAGATCATCCTCTATCCCCGCCGATCATAATCGGCAGTCTTCTTTTCTCCTTTAAAAAAAGTCTGCTTTATTTCTTATTTGTTTATTGTATAATTTTTCGTATAATTTACTTTATATCAAAATTTAATATAAAATATGAAATATTGTACAATACGATTATTTATACAAATCATAATATTTTACGTAAAATTTAACAATTATAAATGAGAATTTTAATGGAAAAAAATATAATATTTGAAA